CCAAAGGTATTTACACGCACGTGAACTTTAATGGCATCCCGGTCTTAGTCCATAGGGGTCAATATTGAGAAGCTTCAACTCTTCTGGGAAGACTGTCCACAAGGTTTAGGAGTGTGTCTATGGGAATGTTTGACCATTCTTCCAGAAGCACATTTGTGAGGTCAGGCACTGATGTTGGATGAGAAGGCCTGGCTCTCAGTCTCTGTTCTAAGTCATCCCAAAGGTGTTCTATCGGGTTGAGGTCAGGACTCTGTGCAGGCCAGTCAAGTTCCTCCACCCCAAACTCACTTATCCATGTCTTTATGGACCTTGATTTGTGCACTGCTGCGCCGTCATGTTGGAACAGGAAGGAGCCATCCCCAAACTGTTCCCACAAAGTTGGGAGCATGAAAGTGTCCAAAATGTCTTGGTATGCTGACTCCTTAAGAGTTCCCTTCACTGGACCTTAATTGCCCCTCCACCAAACTTTACACTTGGCACAATGCAGTCAGGCAAGTACCGTTCTCCTGGCAGCAGCCAAACCCAGACACATCCATTGGATGTCCAGACAGAGAAGTGTGATTTGTCACTCCAGAGAACATGTATCCACTGCTCTACTGCGGAGTCCAGAGGCGGCGTGCTTTACACCACTGCATCCGACGTTTTGCATTGCACTTGATGATGTAAGGCTTGGATGTAGCTGCTCGGCCATGGAAACCCATTCCATGAAGCTCTGTACGCACTGTTGTTGCACTAATCTGATGGCCACATGAAGTTCGGAGGTTTTTAGCTATTGCCTGCAGACAGTTGGTGACTACTGTGCTCTTCAGTATGTGCTGACTCCGCTCTCTCATTTTACGTGGCCTACCACTTGGTGGCTGAGTTGCTGTTGTTCCCAGGTGCTTCCACTTTGTTATAATACCACTAACATTTGAATGTGGAATATTTAGAAGCAAGGAAATTTCATGGATGAACTTATTGCACAGATGGCAACCTATCATGGTACCATGCTTAAATTCACTGAGCTCCTGAGAGCGACCCATTCTTTCACAAATGTTTGTTGAAGCAGTCTGCATGCCTAGGTGCTTGATTGTATACACCTGAGGCCATGGAGGTGATTGGAACACCTGAATCCAATGATTTGGAGAGGTGTCCCAATACTTTTGGCAATATAGTGTATCTCTCTGTTACTACTAAAATATTGCCTTAAATGCAACACAGCACATGCAGACCTTTATCATAACATCTCAAAGGTGAAAAAAATATTTTATTTTTTAAGCATTCTGTATGGACGTGGACACATATCAACATATAATGAGGTTTTATCTAAAAGACTGCAAAAGTGGAAATATGCTTTAAATCTATGATTTGTTGTTTCTGCTTTTTTAAACTTGAACTACTATCTGTATTTTGATTACATAGCAATAAAAATATAGAAAAATGAAGTGATGATAGAAAATGTAAGATAGAGTTGAAGAGAAAATAAAGTTGGACATACGTATAATTTAAAATGATTCCTTTTTGTCATAATGCTACAGTGACTGCTGAAAAGAGCCATGATAATTTGGTTTAGAGTGCCCACCTTGAGTAAGTTATTGCACAAAAGTCCGGATAGCAAATCAGGGCTCGATAAATATTTGGATTTCTTAGACTAATACTTGTGATGGTAATTCATTAGGATTCTACTAACATATTTTTTGAGGTCCTAAAGCAGTGGAAACCTGGTATGTTGGACTCCAGAGCAAGCAAATCAATGTAATAATATGAAAAAGCTTTAAATCCATGATTTGTTGTTTCTGCTTTTTTTAAATCCTCTTGAACTACTATCAAAATATGAAAAATTAAGTGATGATAGAAATTGTAAAATAGAGTTGAAGAGAAAATCAAGTTGGATAAACTTATAACAGTAGACAATTTTTTGTCATAATGCTACAGCGACTACTGAAAAGAGCCATCAAAATTTGGTTTAGAGTGCCCACCTTGAATAAGTTATTGCACAGAAGTCTGGATAGCAAATCAGGGATCAATAAATATTTGGATTTCTTAGACTAATACTTGTGATGGTAATTCATTAGGAGTCTACTAACATATTTTTTGAGGTCCAAAAGCAGTGTAGAACTATTAGTTCTGATGGTAATTCATTAGGATACTACTGGTATTAAAATATTTTTTGAGGTCCAAAAGCAGTGTAAAAGTGGTAAGTTGGACTCCACAGCAAGCCAATCAATGTAATACTATGAAAACAGATTGCGCATCTCTCTAGCACTCCATGAAAGACCGAAAATTATACTTGTCAGAAGAAAATGCATTTGTTATGAAACCCAACATTTACTGCATAAAATCATCAGAATAGTATGTGGAATCTAATTATAAACTATATGCTATATGTTATGTGCACTATTTTACTTGATGGTGTATGGGATATCAGCACAAGAAGAAAACACATGAATTATGGAAGAATCTTTATTACAAAGTGATTGATTTTACATATATGGACTTATTATGGACGTTTTATTCAGCTATGTCACTCTTTTATTTTTTTTAGCTATTATTTAGCAGCACCACATCACTTTGTTATTTTTAATTTGCTTTAATTTGCTTGTGTGAACACAATTTGATGTTAGCAGCAGCCACTATCTTAAAACTACCCGTATTTTCCGGCGTATAAGGCGACTGGGTGTATAAGACGACCCCCTAATTTTCCAGTTAAAACATAGGTTATGGGCTATACTCACCGTATAAGGCTACCCCCCTTCCGAGGCAACACCATTTAAAAACATCAGATTTTTTAATTGAAATGGTTATGACTTACCGATACTTAAAATCCTTCAAAATCCTCATGTTCATCCTCTGACATCATAAGTTCATGAATGACATCTTGTGATACATTTGTAAGACAGTCATCATATGGATCAAATTCCAAATAGATGGTTACCGCTGGATGTGCGGTAATACGGTAGCTTCGGCTACATACAGTATATATACAGCCCGCTGGATGTGCAGTAATGTACATACAGTATACCGCGCTGAGCCAAGCTGGCTCAAAACAAATGTCCCTATGACAGATTAATCTGTCAGCCCGTTGGATGTGCGGTATATACAGTATACTGAGCCAAGCTGTTTCAAAACATACCGGTACGTCCCTACTGTAATCAGACTGCTGGGTGTGTGTATGTACAGTAGCTGCGACTACATACAGTATACACTGGGCCAATCGCGGCGAGCGATGTATTCTACTAAAGTCTGCTCGGATTGGCAGAGGTTGTGACATCATCAGCCCACCTCTCTGACTCAGCCAATCCGAGCAGGCTTTGTATTCATTAGTAGAATACATCACTCGCCGTGATTGGCCCAGCGTATACTGTATATAGCCGCAGCTACCGTACATACACGCATCCAGCGGGCTGATTACAGTAGGGACGTATCGGTACGTTTTGAAACCGCTTGGCTCAGCGCAGTATACTGTATATACCGCACATCCAGCGGGCTGACAGATTAATCTGTCATAGGGACATTTGTTTTGAGCCAGCTTGGCTCAGCACGGTATACTGTATGTACAGTATGATCACATATCCAGCCAGCTTGACCCAAACAACCTCAAGGTTCATTTTATACCCCGCGTATAAGACGACCCCCAATTTTTGGGGTATATTTTTAAGTATAAAAAGTAGTCTTATACGCCAGAAAATACTGTATTTTTTATTTCCCTTTCTGCTTGTGTGCGTTTTGTTGCGTTTTTTTCTTGTTTCTGTTTTTTTTTTTTTTTGTTTTTTTTTCCTCTCTCTCATTATTGAGGTAGCACAGGGGTTATAACATTGTTGTACAAATATTTGTTAACTCCTATATTCAACTAATTATAAACTGCTTCTACAACACTTCCACGGTGGTGCCACCTCTGTACATATGATTTCTGAAATGCTCTTCTGCATAATTAAGTCTTACATCCATACCAAATTAACCAATTTAAATTAATAAATCAAACAAAATCATAGATTATACTTTTGGTTTAATCTACAATCTATTCCCATGAGATTATGTTCAGTAGTACTATGTAAGCAAAATATTATTTTTGTCAGATGTCCCAGAAGCCTAAAACAATATTGACTGAAAACCAGATTGTTCCCTTCCAAATAAGTTTAGAATTTACACTGGGCTCTTGCCAGGTGGTTTTCCTCTGCTGTGCAAACAGCTGTGCGGACCGTAATCTTTACTTAATATATACATAAATAAATACATTTAAAGGATACCTGAAGATTTGTTAAAAAAGGATGGCTAATACAGGCAGCTGATGTGCTGCAAATTGTAAGGATAAATGTGTACCTGTTATGTAAAGACCTTCCTATACCTGCCTAGCCTTGCCTGTAGAGGCATGTCTATGTCCTCCAGACTTACTACACTCAGATATGGAGGAGGCTGGATCTGTATTAGGACAGCTCGTTATAAATATTGGTCAATGTGATACAAGCCTCACCTCCAGGGGCGGACTGACAACTCATGGGGCCCCCCGGGCAATAGGGGATTATGGGGCCCCTGTGTCCTCGCCCACACTCAAATCACACTCAAAAAAGCCTGAAAGGTACCAGGGACATCTCATGGGGCCCCCTACTGACCCCGGACCCTCGGGCAGTGCCCGTGTTCCCCAATGGTCAGTCCGCCCCTGCTCACCTCCATCCTCCTCAGAATTTGTGTTTGAGTTGTACACTGCCAGCATGGGTGGGCTCCAGATGAACATCAGGTATGATTTTAATAGCATACTTACATTGGTACAGCTTGGTACAATGTACAGTAAGTATGCATTCCTCATACCTTGGGGGGCCACTGGGGAAGCCGAAAATCACTGTAGTAGTTGGTGCTACTACAGTGAGCACAGCTATCTTCCAGGACCTGGGCTGAGCAGCTACCTCACTGCATACTGACCACATGGGGTGGGGGTTGGTGGGGTCACTTGCTCAATAATGCCACCATTCACAGATTGCCCTGTATGCTCAGTAATGCCACCATTGTACAAAATGTATTTTTCTTCAATCACTGCAAGGCGTTTTCTGATTGGACAAGGAGGGTAAGAGGGGCGATGAGCAGGGGCGGAGTGACAACTCATGGGGCCCCCGGACAATAGGGGATCATGGGGCCCCTGTGTCCTTGCCCAAACTCAAAAAAGCCTATGAAAATGGTACCAGGGGTATCTCATGGGGCCCCCTACTGACCCCAGGCCTCGGGCAGTGCCCGAGTTTCCAAAAGGTCAGTCCGCCCCTGGTGGTGAGGTCACAATCTCCACCTCATCTACTCAACGAGCACCTTGTAACTTTTAATGAAATGCAAGGGGTTCTGTGACTGATGGCAGTGCAGGACTTGGAAGATTTTAGTGTGATGATTGTAGTAGTGCCGGCTACTACAGTGATTGTCAGCTTCCACAGGTATGAGATGTGTATGCCTGCATTGGTCCAAGCTCAGAAGAAGGGAACTGTGCCAGCACTGAACTGTAACACTTGCGTGAAAAGTAGGCCTGTATGTGTGGCAGTAAGAAGACGATAACTCAAGCATGGAGAGCCACACTTGTAAGTGTTGGCGTAGCAGATTAAAAAAGTTCTTATAATGATTTTTAGGGATGAATACATTGGACAAGTATTCTTTTTATGCTTTAACTACTGTAGAAATACTGCTACGGGGCGGCATGGGTGTGCAAAATCACATACATGTACGTGATTTTGCATTTCCGGGTAGGGGTCACGTATGAGGCACATGCGCGCCCTACCTGTGCGGCTGTGAATCATCAGATCCCGGCCGGTGATTACTTGCCAGCACCCGATGATTGCCAAGCAACTCCAACAGGGAGAACTTTTGTAAACAAAACAGTTCTCCTCCCTGTCAGCCTGTGCACACTGCTTTGCATGGCTGTGCACAGCACAAACATGCAAAGCAGTGTGCTTACAGTGAAGAACACGGACACAAGTAAAACAGCACACAACACACAGTTAACCTTTGATTTCCCCTCATGTTAACCCCTTCCTGCCCAGTGCCCTTAGTACAGTGTCAGTGGGTTTTTTTTAGCACTGATCACTGTATTGGTGTCACTGGGGATGTCAGTGACACCAAGTCAGTTCCCCCCAGTGTCAGAATTCCCGCCGCTGTCCCACTATTATTCACTGATCACCGCTATAACTAGTAAAAATAAATTGTAAAAAATCCCTGTATATATACCGCCTTTAAACACTATAACTTTCACGTAAACCAATTAATGTACACGTATTGGGATTTTTTTTTTTAGCAAAGACCTGTAGCAGAATACATTTTGGCTTAAATTTATGACGAATTTTGTTTTTTTTTTTTTTTACATTTTTTTTCCTGGACTCGATTAATAGCAAAAAGTCAAAAATATTGTTTTTCTCTCAAAATTGTCGGTCTTTATTTTATAGTGAAAAATTTAAAAAACTCACAGGTGATCAAATACCACCGAAAGAGCTCAATTTGTGGGAAAAAAATTTCATTTGGGTGCAGTGTTGCATGACCGCGCATTTGTCAGTTAAAGTAATGCAGCGCTGTAACGCAAAAAATTACCTGGTCAGAAAGGGGGGTAAATCCTCAGGAGGGCAAGTGGTTAAGCACAAGAGGTTATGATCATATTAAAGCTGAACAAACAACTAACTATACAGTTGACTATAGAGCAGCCCTATTTTCTCTCAGTTGGAGTGCTGCTGTGCACAAGATTACCATATACTGATACCAAGATTGAATCAGACACTTTCACTTATTATTATTATACAGGATTTATATAGTGCCAACAGTTTGCTCAGCGCTTTACAATATAACGGGAGACAATACAGCAACAATACAGTTCAATACAAGAGGGTCAGGAGCAGGGGCGGATTGACCATTCAAGCACTCGGGCACTGCTCGAGGGCCCGGGGTCAGTTGGGGGCCCCATGAAATGCCCCTGGTACCTTTTTATAGGCTTTTTTGGGTGTGCTTTGAGTGTGGGCAAGGACACAGGGGCCCCATGATCCCCTATTTCCGGGGGGGCCCCATGAATTGTCAGTCTGGCCCTGGTCAGGAGGGCCCTGCTCTTTGGAGCTTACAATCTAAGAGGGAGGGGCTAGTGGTACAAAAGGTAGTAACTGTGGGGGATGGACTGGTAGGAGGAATAGAAGATTCCATTATTAGCTGAGGGAGGGATAGGCTTCCCTGAAGAGATAGGTTTTCAGAGATCGCCTAAAAGTGAGTAGAGTAGGCGATAGTTTGATAAATTGGGGTAGAGAGTTCCAGAGGATCGGGGAAGCTCTGGAGAAGTCCTGAAGACGAGCATGGGAGGAAGACACAAGAGAGCTAGAGAGAAGGAGGTTCTGCGAGGAGTGGAGAGTATGGTTTGGATGATATTTGCTGAAAATAATAGCTGAAAAAGTACCTTTATTTCTCACTGTATTCATATCAAGATTATATTATAGATTGGAGCTCAAATTGAAGACAGTAAAGGAAATAAAGCACATGATGGATGCTGTAAATAGCTAAGAAAAGGAATTTAAATGCCTTCATTCATTTTACGGCTGAAGCTTTGTTTGCATGTCTTTGTTAGTGAATGTACATAGGCATGGTTTATTGCTCCATTTTCACTTTGTGTAACCTGTTCTATCTCTGTTATATAAATAGTAGCAGCATGCCAATTAGTGTGCATCCATGCATATACCTCTATGTATTACAGTCTAAAGGCTAAATCCACAGCACAAACACATCATCATTCTTCAAGAAGAACTTCGCTCATCTTTACAAAAATAAAATTCAGCAGCTACAGTGCATGCACTGTATTGGGGGTGTCGGAACAAGCCCACCTTCATCCTGACCTAGGAGAAGAATGAGAAAGTGGGAGCAAATACCTGCTGGAAAAGGTACTAGTCCCCGTTCCCTCCCATCACCACCACCTCCTAATGTTATGGGGGGCTGCTGCCTAATGCTCAATATTTTGACAAAAAGTTTAATTTTGAATTAAAGTATAAAGCGCCTGTATATTAGACAGACCTTTGCATACAGCATTAACAACTTGAGTCTCAGTTGCTGTTTTATAATCGGAAAAAATATTCAACTAAGGTGCAGTGCATGATGAGCGCGGATGTCAGACCCCTGCCCTTCTCACCAGCTCGTGACAAAGAACTGGCCAATCTCACACTGTGCTGTCACCTATGTAACAATAAAGATTTTCCAGCTCGCGGGACCACAGTCTAGGTGCCGGCAGCCTGAGAGCGATTGTCACTGGGTTAGGTTAACTAAGCAATTAACTCTTTAAACTCTAAACTGCCACTAGATAGCTTCAGGCCTATCAACCCTTCACAATGTTAGCAAGAACAAGTATGAAAAATAAACATCTGTAACACACGCTGTCACCACAGACAGGTACATTCAGAGATTTATCATATACAGTAGCACCCTTCAAGAGACAGGGATTCTTTTTAGTTTGCATTAGCGCAGTTAGAGACAATTTCAACACCTATCAAAATAGGGTTTAATAATGAAAAGGTCAAAATGGTGCAAATAAAATATTTACAAAATAAAGATATTATAAAGTAACAAAGAGAACAACAACAGTAAGATAAGAGGGTGAAAAAAGAAGTAAACACTTGCAAAGCCCTTGGATTAGCAGAGTTCAGTAAAGGGTGACCAAGGTGTTATTGGCTCTCTTGGTTGATGGTACAGAGCTGTTAAAAGGTTCTGACATTCCCTTTTTCTGTGGTATCAAAGGGGTGTTGACAGAAACCATCTGGCCAATCATCCAGTTTAACCACTTGCCCTCCTGAAGATTTACCCCCTTCCTGACTAGGCCATTTTTTGCGTTACGGTGCTGCGTTACTTTAACTGACAATTGCGCGCGGTCATGCAACGCTGCACCCAAATGAAATTTATGTCCTTTTTCCCACAAATTGAGCTTTCTTGTGGTGGTATTTGATTTCCTGTGCATTTTTTATTTTTTGCTCTATAAAAAAAAAAAAAGACTGACACTTTTGAGAAAAAAACTATATTTTTGAAGTTTTGCTATTAAACATGTCCAGTAAAATAAATTTAAAAAAATCAAATTTCGTCATAAATTTGGGCCAAAATGTATTCTGCAACATGTCTTTGCTAAAAAAAATGGTGGTGATCAGTGAATTATAGCGGGACTGCGGCGGGCATTCTGACACTGGGGGGAACTGACTTGGTGTCACTGACATCCCCAGTGACACCAATACAGTGATCAGTGCTAAAAAAAAGCACTGATACTGTACTAAGGGCACTGGGCAGGAAGGGGTTAACATGAGGGACGATCAAAGGGTTAACTGTGTGCTGGGAGTGTTTTACTGGGAGGCTGTGTTGATGCTTCACTTTAGGCACACTGCTCTGGATGGTTGTACCTGAATAAACAGGGAGGAGGACTGTTAGTAAACAAAGCAGCCCTCCTCCCCGTTGGAGATCCTCGGTAATCACTGGATGCCGGTGGGGAATCACTGGCCGGGACCCGGTGACAGACAGCCGTTAGTGCGAAATGGCAGTGCGGGTAGGGCTTGTGCGCGCCCTCTACCCGGAAATACATCATATATATATATATATTTGATTTTGCACACCCCTTCTGCCCTGTAGCAGTATTTCTGCTATATGGTGGCAGGGAAGTGGGAAGGGTGGTGGCTGGGAGGTCACCATGTTTATGATCAAGTCCTAAATACAGTTACCTAGAAGTATTCATATTTTTGAATACCTACCGTTTACAGTTTGCTAACATGAAAATTATTGTCCAGCATTACATTTCATGTCCAGGGATATCAAACACAGAGTATTTCGGATGGACCTGTCACCCAGGAGGTAAGAGACTGATATCTCACCCTGTGTTCCCCATTCAAATATATATACTTAAAGTGTTACTAAGCCCAGGACCCTGCATTCACTCTATCTGGTCTCCCACAGTACACACAACATGGAAATGCAATTATGTTAGTAAATATAAACTGTTAAATACCTTTTCTCATCAGCAGTTAGAGCAGTCTTGTGACTTCTATCAGTGTTCAGCAGAGTACTGGTTTAAGCTTGTAGGAGGAGTTTTCTTTC